TCAATACTCACCAACGATGTGCGACACGAAGGAACAAGTAATTAAGAACGGATGAAGTTAGCCTTTTAAGAACAAAAACACAATGCTGCGACTGAATAAACAAAATAACCCCGTACACATAAAAGAGAAGCTTTTTACGACGTTTCATCCACTTTGACATTTACTATTTCTACCACACTTTTGCTTTTTACTACTACATCCCCTTATCTTCATTACTACTCCCCCTATCAGATTACCTCTATGCTACACTCCCCTTTTCTTCCCTCTCTTTTTCCTCCCTTCCTAAAAATATATTATATATTTTATATATATAATATTAAAAAAATATATAATATTATATATTATATAAAAAAATATATATTATATTAAATATATTATTAAAAATATAATATATAAAATAATTATATAATTTTTTATTATTATACCGGCCGATTCCCACCAAAGGGAAGGTGCCCAAAAAGAAAAAAAATTTTTCACCATCACCACTCCATCACTGTCTTTTCCCGAAGGGGGCTTTCACTACAGTTTTTTTAACTGCAACTTTAAACACCCCCTTCAGAGTGCGGCACGTAAATTCCCATCTCCAGGGCTCAAGTCCGGGCCCGCCGGTTTCCCCGAACCCCTTCATAAAGTTACTTTGCTCACACTCCAAAAGCACGTCAAGATAAAAACCATTGCCCATTCACCCTTCAAACACGCTCCCCCATGCCCGCTGGGAAGCCCTTCGCACACAAAACCTCCTTTTTCCCCCTCCCTCCAACCTTCCCACCCCCCCCACCCCGCCTTTCCCTTTCCCCTACAGACTGATACACTCTTTAATTATTCGTTTCGCTCCATTCCTCCACATGTCCGAACAACCTCAACAACCCTTCCTCGCCCCACAACTTTTTGGGAACCCGACCTCCTCCTAAATTCCAAACTAAAAAATTCTCCCTTTCATTATATTCACACCAACATTGCCCAGACATGACATCTCCACTGCCCCAGCCTTCCCCGCGCAACATTCATCACCC